AAGGTCATCGGAAATTGGTCCTGGAATTGGTTTTTTTGGGATTACGGGCATCCTAAACTATTAAGAGCCAGCTAGTCTAGCATTGACCTCATGACATGCTAGTGAACATATAATAACGAAACCCTGTTTCCATGTTACAAACACTATCCTTGGTTGAACCACAAACAAAATTGCAGGAAGCATGACTTGTACAAGAAAAGCAGGATACGCGAATACACCGAAAAGTAACTGTGCGGAAGGCAATAAAAAACCCATAGCATCAAGTTAATCAACTGATAAAGCAATAGCCATAATATTCAAGCGGTACGATAGTACAACAACGTAACTGTGCGCTTTTTAACTCCACACTAAAGGTAGCAGTTCAACTTTGTTAAGACTAAATTCGTAGATAGCAACCAAAAGTCATATGAAAGAAGAGTTTTCACCGAATCGACCATTCCGCGAATACTGAATACGATCACGTGCATGATGCTCCTATCCATCAGCGCAGATGATGTATTTTCAGATTGGCCTGAGCTGCGTTGGCAAATGAAGCTCGGTTAAACAACTTATCATAGAACTCGGAAACCTTGGCAAGCTAGGAATAAGCTTTACGCAACTTAACCAATGTGTATGTTAATGCATGTGTGCGTAAATGTGCTGATTCCATTTGAGAATGTGCAAGTAGAATCCGCGAAGCTCAATACGCTTAGATTGGAAGAAAACACAGACTAAGGATTAAATTACAGGAGAAATACTTCAACTAGGGGCATTATTGATAGCTATTAAGTAACAGTGTGGTTGTGCCTGCAGTAGTGAAATTAAAAGTTCGAATTGGGCCATTTATAGGTCTGACTGTTGTGAGATACTACTCACCTTCGTGAGCAGTTCGCAAAAGGATGCGATTGGCGGTTTTTTTTCAACGGTCAAAAACGTTGGAGCGAACTGCGGTGTTCAGTATGGTAACTACAAGAATGTGCATCTACTAGTAGACCTTTCCATTAACTATCCTGTGTGCGTGTGGGCATTCCGAAGACTCGTCTCAAATGAAGCACTTCGTTGTGTCATTTTACCGATACCCTGACCGTTATTTATCATAACTAACTATCCTTGTCCAGACAACGCCTTGTGGAATTATAACATGACTATTTGGTGTACAAGATTTCCTGATGCAAACAAAGTAATACTAAGATAGGTATAAGTGATAGCTTAGTGCAACTTTAATGACGGTTTGTGTGAACAAACAAAGCGAATAAAGAAGGGTGGTAACTATGAATGATGGAATAAGTGTTGATAAATGGGCAACCTTAAAAACAACTTTCCTTTGCTTTCAATTCAGGCTTCTATGTGGGTAAGTAAAATGCACACGTATTTCGATAATGAACCACACCGTGAAGTATCGACATTCAGTGTCCATAAAATCATGCATAAGAAAGCTCAATTCCAAAACGCAAAACACCATCTGGACACATACCTCATCATTCTTAGTGGAAAAGACGGTGATCAATCGATTAATATCCGGCCGAGCCATAGCCATGGGGTCGTAGTGGATACCATCATACATTAATAGGATACGTTGACTATAACGTTTATCCTCTCCAAAACGGTCAATGCGACAGGACTGAATATCGACCAGACAGATTTCTAGTTCGTGAAGTTGCGACAGAATGGCCACTTCAATTCCACCTCCCCATCGATCCGGCTTGATTGTGGTGGAAGGAGAAAGGAAAGGAAATGATTACACACATGTATTAATATGTGCAGAACGATTGACTTTTAAAGGAACCCCGTTTTCATCATAGCACAGGTAAGCATTGTTTAGCGGACAGTTTGGGTGCGTGAGACTATACCCCCAACTAACAGGAAAGGACGGAGAACGCAATTCGGATAGATTTCACTAAAATTTATCGTCCACAATAAACCAAATCATGTCATAAACTTCGAAAAACGGATATTAAGGTACAGCATTTGAGTTTGATCAATGTCAAGATGTGAGATCACAAGAATGAGTACCGAAGTTCATCCAAGTTTCCGATGCGTGATACCAGAAGATCAATAGGCAGACACCCAATGTTGTTTGTACATAACAAAAGTAGATAAACTCTGAGAAACAGGGTTCCGGTAAAATAATCTGGCTGTACTCACACATAGACACATAAATGTAATGGTTAATCTAGATTTTGTGAAATGTACCGCAGAATAATTATTTACTCGAACCGATAAGGATCAATCCATAGTAGCACCGAAGCCAAACACACCCTTAAAATGTCCCGTTCGTTCGGTGGGTGGTTCTGGAAATGGAAGTCACCGCTTCGTGATCTTCTCGAAATCCCTTCTAATCGTCTGTGTTCAAAGCTTCGGCGTGAATGATTTCCGTAAAGTGAAAGGACGAAAAGGCCATCTCCGAGACCTGATGCCGATGGACGAACCACTTTCAGTTAATTCATCTAGAAGAACTGGAGAACCCTGATTCCAAAACACCCATGGTAAGATGTACAGACAGTCGCAGACATATACAGTCACTGATTCGATGGACAAATGTGATGCATTGGGCACCCTGGGCGCTGCAGCCCCATCAGAGGTGTGCATCATCCGACCGGCCGAACAGACTCCCAATCGACCACCAATTCGCCTGTTTAGAATGCCGGTTACCAAAACTGAATAGAGGACACTCGTAGCAATGAGTTTCACCCCCTGTACCGTCCATAACATCAAGGGATGCGGTATAAGCTGTAAGGTTTACTTAGTTCGGCGTTTAGAAAGTTAGAGAGTGGAGTAAGCATAAAGTCGATGTTGTCTGAACCAGTCACATGATTTATCTGACTGACATCCACGGTATTCGTGTGCAGAAGACGAACGAGTAAAAGGAATCTCATCTAACGGCTTGATGCGATGCTGGTTAAATTGACGTCTGTGGTGTTAGCCAGAGGGCCCATCCCTTGTGCGGTAACTTGGTAGAATAATCTATTCATGATTCACCCACATAGAACTAAAGAGTTTTGTGAAAGGTTAAAAGTAACTGTTCATTCTTGGAAATGATTGCATATGTTATATCGTTTTGAGCTGGATTTTGTGGATTCCGCGAAAAGCACCAGTCCAATTAAATCTTTAATTTGTTTCATCTACTGATAAAATAACACTATCGTTCCTCCATTTCATGTAATTCAAATTGGACTGATTGATTCAGTCAAGCGCTCCCAAACGTGGTCTGCAGTAAATGACAAACGTGATCACTTATCAAAGTTTTAGCATAAACCATGAGTGTTGGCTATTGTTGCTAACACACGTTGTGCACACCGAGTAGTTTACCCATTACGACAGAGGATCAGGTGTATGAAGGTGGACAACTTTCTTTATTGATGAATTTGAAAACTAGCTACCAGATTTCATTTCTCAACCTCAGTTGTAAACGGCCAAACTTAGGTCCACCTCGGCGAACGCTGACAAACAACACTAGAATGACAAATCATTGATTAACGGTGTTAATGCGAGAAGAAAACGACGCGACTCAGGAAATTACAGTGGAACAGTTGGCTAGTTATGACAATACTTAACAAAGGGTCAGATCTTGCTGATAACCTTGGACCACGAAATTTAGATTACAAAAAAAGAAACCCAAACCTCCACAGCCGCTGCTCAGATAAAAGGGATAGGTTTTTGTCGGATATAGGCTTCGAAAACGACAAACAATACACCGGTACAATTTGTGAGGAAATGTGAAAAACGGTTGCTCATACTGGAACACCGTCCTCGATACCCATCACAGCCTAGTCTGTGCTATAAAGCCTATACGCTTTGACGGTGGAGTGAGAAACAAGAACCACCAAGTCGAGTTTTAAAAATTGTCAACATCGCATATTCTGACAAAATTTCAGAACAAAGTAGCCTAACAGCTGTAAGACTGGTCGCAAGATAGAAACACCAAAAGCTTCTCGAAATTCAAGGACTTGGGGATTTTTAGAAGCGGTAGTTAGTCACTGTTTGAGAGCGCAATTGTGTTCAAAAAATTTGTGAGGCGACTGTTATTGCCGTGATATTGATTACGTGACGCTTGACGCCACCTTGCCATATTGTGTGACACGTCCTTCCTGTTAGGACGGAGCTTAAGCAACCCGTTCGATCGCGCACGCCTCCGAGTCAGGTCACACGCACGCTCGCAACCCTCCAGACAAGCTGAGTCCGATTGGATGATCACAGAACGAATCAACCAATGCTTGTCCAGTCGATCAATTGATCAATCGATATGTCATGGACGCAATCTGATTGATTGGTGCATCATTGCGCCGTTCTCGTATGTGCTATTTGTTCTTGATATTGCGTATCGATATCTAATAAAAAAATGTATACACGCTGACTTTGGTTCCAGCTGTGTTCTCTCTCCGCGTTATTGTTGGGGGTTAAGCAAGAGTNNNTCGCTCGCGTCATTCGTACGTCTAGACCGAACACAACACTTCCCTCCGTTCTCTTCCATAACATTCGCCACCTTGTTCGAATCAGTTCACTTTCATAACGTATAATCAAATTACGTCATCTAACTTGACCTTGACCCTTAACCAAACTCAAATCACGCAACTCACTTGTCCACTAATTTGTTCAGATAACTCAACTAACTTCTATGTTTCTTGCTTGGACGTGATTGTATGAATGTACGTTCACAGGGGAGTGAGAGCACACGAAATCGATGGTCAATATCAATTATGATGAATAGAGCAACTATACTATACTATACTACTATACTAATAAACATCAGTGGAGAACATATCAAGCAAACGCAGTTGTATGTATGCAAGCTTACCTAGTAGTGGACGAACCTCGAAGACGGGTAAGAAATACCATGAATTTTCTTTATCTTTATCTGTTAAACCGCCGGAAGTTAATTTCATATGGCCACAGACACAGCAAAGATCGCCATCCATAATGCGAAAGTCGGCCGTACGTATAAAGAGACTGAAATTCGGTAATCTGAACTGACTGCAGATGCCGGACCAGCCGCTACCTCCTTTAGTTCCTGGAAGCTAATACTAGTTAACGGCGTCAGAAAAACTAACGTATGGGAGCTCAACCTTGAAGTAAGTAGGATGTCAATTCACAACATTCGCCGTCTGATTAACCGTACCCACTGCCTTAACAACTGCGGATTATTGCCACTAGTGTTCGATGTTCATAGATGATCTGAATGACTCATAATTATAAAACTATCACATCTCAAACGCAACAAGATTCCGGGCGTGGCTAATCTATGACCAGTCGTTTATAAGGATGGAGAGAATAGACTGATAAGCAAACTCCACAGTCTGTTCTTCAAGATCTGAGGGTGAGAGGAGGGCACAGCAGAATAAGGTGATTCAACTGTTGTCCCATTCTTTAAAAAAGACCTACGCTTAATTAGTAGTAATCATAGGGAAATCAATCTGATGCCAGTCAGGATTCAAGCAGTCAGCAGCGGTGAATGAGTAGATCAAAATGCGGATTCTCAAGGGTTCGCGTGATCTCCAATTTCAACAACCTAGGGCACAGACATGACGTCAGCCACTCTCTCTCCCTCTCGGAAAAGTGAGGTATAAGAAACCACAGTAAACGCAGTACTGCTGTTTATGTGTGAAGCTTGGTTACTCCAGTCGAGGACGTTAAGGGAATACCTGTATTCGATTCTCGTTGCACGAAACGCATTACACTTTTTAGTGGGAACACTGGGTACTCGGTGCAGGCAATGAAACTAAGAGAAAGCATTTGGCTTCACAGTTCACGATAGCTTGTGTATACCCTTTGAATGCGGACGCCGGTATGAGATGGAACGGACAAGATGGAAAATCAACACAGAGATGGCGTTGAAAAATAAAAAGGCTCTACTGAAAATCTATCACCTGATGGCTCATTTTCACTTCCAGATTGGAGTATCTAAAATCCAGATAATTGAAGGCAGGAGACACTATGGGTTATGACGCAGAATATATCTGTGCCTCTTTACTTACAATTTATGTACACCGACACCTTTTCACTCCAATCATATACTACTTATTATGAAATATT